TCTAAACGTTTACAATGTTCCTTAAAACTAAGAGTTTTATCAAATATTATTCCTAGAATTTTTAAATTAGAAACATTTTCCATATTTTTATTCATATAAGATAAACTATTGTAAAATTTGAACAATTTCTCTTTTACATATATGTAAGTTTTACATTTTTATAAGATAAATTCGAGCCGGTGCTTTGAGCCCATTCTGAGATATCGTTAAGGACATCATCTGCATAAATAGCATGTTCTATTCTATAATTCTGCAATTTTGCTCACTTCGTGGAAAGCTATAATTAAAAACACTACCGATGTAGGGTAACCTTGAGCAATACCATTTGATAAAGGGACTTTATCAGAAAATTTTAATAATTTTAACTCTGAATATTCGATTTGACAGAAAACTTCTTACAAAATTAAATGTATTTTTCCGACATTCCATTTTATTAGCTGGCGAAGAACAACGTGTATACCTATTCGATCAAAAGCCCTTCCGAAGTCCAGTCCGAGTGTAGTAACTTGGTTTCGACTTGAGATGGCAGTTGAAATAACGTGTTCGAAATGTAAGGTTTAAAAGCTACTTGGTTAGGGCTTATATGGTTCCTCTTTGCGCAAACCACACTAATCGGTTGGCGATATCTTCTCTAATACTTTACTCAAACATGAAAGTAAGGAGATCGGACGATAGCTATGAATATCGGCGAGAGGTTTACCGGTCTTAAAATTGGAACGATGTCAGCATTTCCAGGATTGTGGAAATATGCACTGCTCAAAATATTATTATATAGGTTTAGTAATCTCTTGGCAGTGCCATGTGAACATTTTTATAATTTGATAGGAAATTCTGTCAAAACCAAGTGTTTTTCCTATTGAGCTATACAAGGCTTCTTTAAACTCTATGATGCAGCAGATGAGGTATTATATGGGGTTTATATTGTACTTTCTGTTATTGTTTTCTTTTCAGAGACTAATGCCTTTTCAAATTAGAATCTTTAAAGTATTCTGACCAAGTGGAGGAAAAATACTTTGCTATTTCATTTGCATACATATGGTGCCTCGATCAGTATTCATGGCTAAAATTTGACTTTGCTTGGCTGTGCTAGTAACCTTATGTTATGCCAAATTTGCCTTAGAGACGAGGAAGGGTTAATGGTCTTGGTTATTTGCAAAAAAACACTCTCTTTAGATTGTTTGGAATGATACCCAAACAAAGCTTTTGCTTTTTGTAAATCATCAAATTGCCGACCCCGAGCAGTATTTTTTGAATTCGCCCAAGCCTGCTGCTGTTTGCTCCTAAGTAGTGAAATTTCTTATTCCACCAAGGTACAGATGGTTTACGGGTTTTTTTGCTTGGGGTATATGCAAATGAGATGCAAACGAAACATTTTTTTATAAGTGCTGCTTCTTTGCTTATATTTTCAGAGACGGGGGTTTGCGAAGATATGACATCCCAGCAAGCTTGAAATTGGGGCCAATCCGCTTTGTCTGTGTTAAACTTTGGGGATTTTTGATTATATGGTTATGATCGGGAAATGATCACTTCCGTGAAGATATTTTTGGATCTTCCATGAACATTTTGGTGCTATGTTTGCTGAACAAAATGTTACGTTCACATTTGTGAAACTTTGGTGAGTTAGAAATAGGTATGTGAGCCATCATTGAGGACTACCAAATTTAACGTTAAGAGCACGTCTTCATTATATTTCCTCTTTGATTGTCTGTGGTAGAACCCCAGAGGGCTCCATGAGTTCAAATCACCTAGTAAAATGATTGGTGTGGAAATATTTCTTAATATTGTAGAATTTCTTGCAAATCTATTTGCAGATGCCGCCACTAAATTCTGCCAAATATTTTGAACAGTGCTTCCCAACACGTAAACTTAGGATTGTTACCTGCGTTTTCAAATATACTGGCTTTTGTAGCCTTCTGGAAATAACCGTCTTGTCTCACTATGCAACAAAAGCTTAATGGCAAGCTATAATGCACTAGTCTTCCAAAATGGGGTGTAAATGAACATTAATAACAATATTACAAAGACCCAGATACCAAATATGTAGACACCACTGCGTATGGCTTTTACCGACATATCAGTGAATCTGTGAGTTCCATGGATAAAATCGAGTCAATACTTTCTTTAGCCCTCACCTTATATAAATATTTTCGAACTACCGGTTGTCCGTATGGTATACTCATCTATCGTTCAATATACTTGTATAAGAAATTTATTTAAATTCAGAAAGAATCTCTTTCAATAAGAGTATATCTTCTTTCCTGTGATTGTAAAAATAATGGATGCATTACTTCCTACTTTAAATTAAAATATATACGAAATTATATTACTTTACCTTGCGAGAGTATAAAATATTTAGTTAGGCGAAATTAGAATCGAATTGAATTCTATCATTGTATAGATATGACGGAACTTTCGTTGTTGCTTGCCGTGAACTTTTCAAATAACAATCAAAGCGAGAAATATTCGCAGCAACATTATAAATTTGATTTAGAGATCAAAGCTACATATTTCAGTTGAAGTTCGATTCGCTGTATTTAATCGAAGCCAATTTTATTAATTAATTTGATTCGAGTGAACTGTTGCTGGCTTTTGTGGCACAGACACAGTCTACTCTTAATATTTTCAATTTTTTAGGAAAGCTTTATAGAAAAAACACGATTTATTGCGAAGAAATCGGCTTATTTGTTATTTTAGTTATTAGCAAATAATAAAAATCTCTCCTATGTTACCTAGTGAATTATATGCAGACATATCGTAGTGTTTAAAACTTCAAAAGCATCGGTGCAGTTGTATCGAAATTATGAAGGGCGCCGACTTTGAAAATGAAAGGAAATTGTGGGAAAACGTTTTGATGTTTTGAACACTTTACATTCGTCGTAACTTCAGTCAATTTTGATCCAATCCACTTGAATTTTGACAAAATATTCTTGAAATACGTACATATGTGGTCTTTTATATTTCGGGATTTGGTGTTGTTGTTGCAATCTGGCAACTCTCAGCTTTATCGTAAAGTTTGACATTTTTGATGTTTTACATTCTCAGAGTGCTTTGACATCCGAGCGCTATTTGTTTTGTTGACAGAAACTTAAAATATTAATTTCTACATCGATGAATCCAATTAAATTTTTGGCGATGAGGCTCCATCACGGACCACCTATCGTGAGATAAAGACAACTATAGGCTTTAGTGGGACCAGCATACATTCGATATTACATGAACATTTGACTTTAAATAAATTTGTTTTAGTTGGATCCTATATAGCGGTACTTCGAAACACGTCTATGACATCGTGACGATTGTATAGATGTTTCCAGATGAGCCGAATCCAACAAGATAGGTGCGCACACGAAGCACTTCCATTTTTTGGAAAAACTGGATATGTCGCAACCATATCAATCGAACAACCCAGAACAGTAAATTCTGAGTGGTGCACAACCATATGTTTGCCAGTTGTCTTTCAAGAAATCAGGAAAACCAATCGCCGAAGTCAGATAACTCTTCACCACGATAATGCGAGCTCTCACACATCGACTGAAACAACTGCATTTTTGAGAACTCAAAACATCAATTGGAGGAGTCATGCAAGTCCTGACTTGGCACCGAGTGACTTTTTTGTATTCCCTCATATAAAAAATTAACTAAGAATGTTTTTCGGCAATTGAAGAGGCGATTGATGCCTTCAGAATGCATGTTTTGGAGATGCCTCAATCAGAGTGGCAAAAGTGCTTCGACAATTGATTCAAACGCATGCAAAAGTGTATAGATCTTAATGGAGAATGTTTTTAAGAACAATAAAGCGATTTTCGACGATTAATATTTGTTTTCGTTCCCTAATACCGAAATATAAAAATCAATCCTCGTATGCATTCAACAAAAAATATAAAAAATACGAAATAAATATATTATTGGATGAAGCGGGTTTCAGCGGACTCATCCACGGTTTTCATGAAAGTAATCAGGGTAACTCTCCTGCCACCTCCTAGGGATGGCACCACGGAATCCTGTTTCCTAGATAAAAAGTCCCTGGAACTTCTCAACAACGGAAAAAAGGTCAATTAATTAATTTCGTATCTTATTAACTTATTGTATAAGTCATAGACTCTTTTAGTTTCATTACTACATTTTGATTCGTGTCCGAGATATCTAAATTAAAATCAACGTACATACATATGCACAACAAATTTAGGTCAGCTGGCAAGTCAGAAATCACTATATTGGGTATATTGGTACGTGAAGAACGTCTGGACTGATTCTATTCTTCAAGATATCTCATTGACCGGTACTCATATATACGGTATAAAATCAACTGGAAGTTCTAAAATTTTTGTATCAGTTTTGTGGGGGCTAGTGGAACTATTGTGTTTTTAACACAAGGATACATTATTATCAGAAGATTCTCTCGAACTATTAAATAAAAATAACTCATTCATTAAAATAACTCACGTATTCACAAAAATTTTTATATTGGGTATTTTTATATTGGGTATCTGTTGACTTGAAAATTTATTGACCGATTTCGGTCATTTTTCGATGGAGAGGTGGAATGCCTTAAAGGTACTATTTCGGAAAGGTTTGTTCCAATGGATACGTTGGTGCTTCATTTATGTACTGTAAAGTGAAAAATCAATTGAAATTTAATATTTTGTTCGCCCTTTTCACAATGTCCTATAAGAATGTCAGGGTAATATTTCATGTATGCATCATAGTTAGTTGAAATTAGTGAAATATTTCCCTCAAGGTGGGCGGTGCCAAGTCCATTGCCCTGCTTTGACACTTTATTACTCATCGCTTGCACGGAAGGACAGGCGGACAGACAGTCACTAGAAGTCCAATTCGTCTCTATATCTATCTCGATTAGTTCTAAGTTTTACAAACAGCCGTTGAGGAACAAAACTATTATACATTGTAGGGTCATACGAAAAATGGTCCGTAGTAACATCACACAAATCCATTAAATAAAGCGGGAAATTATGCTGGGTTTGTGGAGGTATTATACTTACCTCGCAATCAGTTTGAGCCTTTCAAACATTATGGCGGTGTGACAACGTACAGCACGAAAGTAAGCGGGATGTGGAAGAATGCCTCAAGGGAAGTGTTTGGCACTTAGCTGCCATTCGTCACTTGTATGAATTTTTGTATTTTCTTTCTATTTTCAATTTATTCGCTGCTTTTATCGCAGTTTTCGAACTGTAGGTATATGCAAGTATATTGCGGTACCAACGTTTTTTTAATGCTTTTAATACCGGTTCACTATATAATTCACATATACAGCTTATGTGCATTTTAAGCATAATTCTTTCAAGTTTCACTGTTTGGCACTCTGCATTCTAGACACATTTTTTAGTATTTAGTGTTTTTGTTTTTGTATTTTGCGCGTTTTCATTTTAGATTTTCGACTAAAACATTTCGTTCAAAATTTTTTTCCCAGCTGTTTGCAGACGGACCGCCGCCTCCGAAGTTTGGAAACAAACTGCCTTAACAGCCGGCAGTTATCTGCAATTGTGTGTATATGTGCACATAGCTGATCTCTCTTTATTGGAGCACAGCGCAGTCACCATGGGGGCTTATGGCCAATTCACTTAGAACTTTTACTTCGCTTTGCGTCACATATTTGTTTTGAAAGAAAAGCTCGATGGCCTTTGTATGAGTACGTACACAAAGTTTTCGGTAAAAAAGCCAAGCAAAATGTTGAGCAACCCTCATCTCTTTACGCTTTGCCAAGCAAAAGTCGCCATTTTTATTAGAGAGAAACACTGAAAACAAAACGTTTCGTTGTGGCATACCCTTTGTTTTCTGCGCTTCGTTGTTTCAGGATGAACTGTCGCGCAAAGCGTGGACAGTTGTATGTGAATGGGCTTTTAATGCTAGATAACATATATACGAGCGAATGTGAGAGGTTTTCGGACAGTCATCTTGCTTTCGAATAAAAGATTTATGTTTATGAATCCAAATATATTAATACTGGTAAAATGATTTATAGTTGTAATTTTTATTGCAAAATTCTGCGGCCTAAAGGGCAGTCCTCGAAGCCTACGAACTGAACTTTTCTACTTAATTTCGGGCAACTTTGTACTCAAGGATGTTATCAGAATTTAACTCCATTTTTTGTTTGACAAAAATGGCGTAATGAAGGGAACGAAAGCTAACAAAATAAAGTTTGAAATTATTTAATATTACATAATAAAATAGTTCTACAAATTTAGAAATATATCGAAACTATTGATCAAAATTAATGGGTGCTTAATCAAAATCATCGGCAAAAATAAGGAAGTCGTATTGTTCTATTTTTCCAACAAAAATATAATTCATCACCCACTTATGAATAAAATTTATTTGACGTTTTAAAAAAATGCCACAAAAAGCTGGGCACATTTGAATTGCTATTTAAATTTGCCACTTTTCCTATGTTACCTCTTCTCATTCTAAAGGATGATCAGTATTAGGAAAGCGTTTTAATCACCCTATTTATGCGTTGGGTGCACCAATCGCTCTAAACGAGCATATAATGAACACCCATATAATTCATATAATGAAAACAGGTTTTACAGAGCCTCTTTGTTGGTCACTTGTGCTTTTCACAATGACGTCAATCCTGTGTTCAAACAACTCTTTCGTGTTACTTTCGAGTGCTTTTTCTTGGTAAGCAACATTTTCATTGAGCCAAATTCGACATGTGTTGACTCTCTTTTGCTCTTTTTATCTCGCTCTCTCACTCAATTACTTGAAGAGCTATCATCTGTTTCGAAATTTCATTCAAAGTTCACACACGGACTCTTCTGTCCCTCAAACCGAGTTTTTGTGTTCTTGTTCGTAACAGTAACAGAATATATGTAATAATATTTATAAATGAATTTTAATATATATAAATGGAGTTGCATTTCTTTTAACCGCAAAATGTTTAGTTCGAATATCATTTTATTTGAAACAAAAAATGTAATTAATTCATGAACGTTTTTTTAGAAAAAGAAAGAAAATTCCGCGTATTTAATACTTTCCGATAGATTAGAAAACTTCCGTCATAAATTTGGGCTTGAAAATATTAATAGCGGCAATGTAATACATTCTAATTGATTAGGGAATTCCCGTCATAAGTATAAGTCTTCCCTTGAAAATAATAATAACCTAACGATTACCCTAATCCCGCCCAACCGACGCGAGGGGCGCAATCCGCATACGTGCGGAATTAGCCGAGTCAGAAAAGGCAAGAGAGTTTTTTAAGTGTTGAGATCTAAAACTGCTCAGCAACAGAAACAAAAATTTCAACAACTAAGATCTAAAGTTACAATATAATAAATTGTTAGATTTTCATTTATTAAGAGAAAACAATAAAGTCTTTTTAATTTTGAAAAGTGAGTCAGATAAGTCAAATGTGCTGGAATGAGAATTAAAATCATGACATATACGGCGGAATGGCTCGTTTAGTTCAAAATTTGATCTACAGGATTTTAGCAGTAAAGGTCTAAACCACCTCGAAAGGCGACCCGGGATATTAAATTTAATTGCAGACAGGAGAAAAGAACTGCAAACAGTTCCATTCAAAAGTTTCACTAAGAATATTATGCCAAGCATCTCCCTACGACTAGAAAGTGTAGGTAGATTAATAAGTTTTAAACGACTATTGTATGGAGGTAGACTTACCCTAGCATCCCATCGGAAATGCGCTAAGGCGAAAAGTAAAAATTGTTTTTGAACCGACTCTAACTTGTCAGAATGGATTTGGTAGCTAGGGTTCCATACAACAGAGCCATATTCCAATATAGGTATAACCAAAGTTGTATAAAGTGTTTTAGTAATATACGGATCTCTAAATTCTTTAGACCAACGTTTAACAAAACTGAGGACAGCTTTTGCTTTTGAGACCATGGTATCAATATGAAGACTGAAATTAAGCTTGGGGTCCATATTAACTCCCAAATCAACATAGTTAAAAACTTGCTCTAGAATATGGTGTTTTATTAGATAAGAAGATGGGTGCACAGATCTACGGGAAAAGCACATCGTCTTACATTTATTGAGATTCAATGGCAAATCATTTCTATCGCTCCATGCAACCTAATTGTGTAAGTCTGTTTGCAACAGACACCTTTCCTCAGTTGAAGTGTATGATTTAAAAAGCTTTACGTCGTCAGCGTATAATAAAATTTTTGAGAATTCTATTACTGATCGTTAATAAACATCGTTAATAAACAACAAGAACAGAATCGGGCCAAGATGACTACCTTGCGGAACACCTGAAGAAACACTAATTGTATCTGAAGGTGTATCCTCAAATATCACTCGTTGTGTTCTATTATAAAGATAGGAAGATACTCATTGAAGGAATATTGGCTGAAAGCCCAGCAGATCAAGTTTATGTTTGAGAATCGAGATATTTACTTTATCGAAAGCTTTGCTAAAGTCTGTGTATATAACATCCGTATGCTTATGTTCCCTAAAACCCAATGATAGATGGTTTACAAATTCAAGTAAGTTTGTTATAGTCGAATTCCCTTTACGAAATCCATGCTGAGATGAGGAAATTAACGGAGAAATCGAAAAGGTTATATGGTCAGTGATGATAGCTTCAAAAAGTTTAGTTATAACTGATAGTTTTGCGATACCTCTATAGTTTTCAATGTTGGATCTAAATCCACTTTTATGCAAAGGGATTATAAATGACTGTTTCCATATTGAAGGAAATATACCGTGTTTAAGAGATCTTAATAATGAAAATATTTAGATTAATATTGTTCTACCACATTCATGGTAATTCCTTGTCTCAAAATGTGAGACACCATACCAACATAAGAATGCATGCAGGTCAAGCATAGCACTCTAACTGACGTCCCTAAATAAAATCGCCAGTGGTAAATTATTGTCAAAAATTTCTGATGCCCATAGATTTTGTATCACGAATACATAAATAAACGCGGCGACAACGCTGAACGTTCAAAAATTCGATTTTGAGAGCGCGTTAAGAAGTGAAGTTGGCTGCAGAAAACGAAGAAACTGTACCTTTTCTGAGAAATTTCTTGACGTGCGATGTTTAATGCTTGTATAAATGGATGGAATTCGTTTTACATTTGATTTCTTTTGTACTAATTTCAGAATTTAAATGAGAATTTGACGTTAAGTTGACGGCTTTATTTAGGGATGCCGCGTCAGCTCTAAAGCTGAGCTGTAAAAAACACGCCGCTCGACGCTTTTTTTAGGAACTGCAGTAAGTGTCGAGTAACCGAACCGCACAAACATTTGCGAAAATTTTATGAAAAGAAATAACAGAAAAACTCGACTCGAGTTGCCAAACTCGTGTCGCTCGTCTGAACGTACTGGACGAAACCAAAAAGATAATTTGCCGATGATGAGCGAATACTACGAAAATGTATGCTTTGAACACGACTGCACGACACAATTTTTCTTGTCTGTAAATGTCGTCTTGAACCCCGCGTTTTGAACATTTTGAAGACCGCAACGACATATCAAACATCTGATGTACACAATTTCGCTGTTGTCGCGCCTTTCACGTCAATGAAATTTAAATATTTTGTTTAAAGTGAAATATTCGGTGCAAAAAGTAAGTAAATAGGTCGATTAATTTGTTTTAAAATATGAATTATTATTACAAATAATAAACTGAAAATATCAGATAAAAGTGAAAGAATCAGATGGAATTTAAAATGGTGTTATATGGTAAATAAGCTTAGTTGTAATCCGATTTCGCCCATTTTCGTACTATTACATAGAAATATGAGAAGAATATTATGTACCGAATTTAGTTGAAATAGGTTAAGCAGATCCCAAGATATGGTTTTTCACCTAAAAGTGGGAGGATGTTAGAGATAAAATTTAATGTCTCTGACTTGCTTAGTGCTTGGTTTATCGGGCTTTTAGTAGTTTTTAACACAACCGTTATATAGGGAGTGGGCGGGGTTGTCACCAGATTTCACCCATTTTCACACCGTCGATAAAAATGCTAAAAACATTTGCTTCCAGTGAATTTTGTTATTATAGCTTTAACAGTTTAGGAGATATGCACATTAAACCTATTAGGGGTGGGATCACGCCCACTTTAAAAAAACCAATTTAACTACAGATGCCCCTCCTTAATGTGATCCTGTGTATCAAATAACAGTCTTGTATTTTATTGCGGAGCTTAGTTATGGCGATTTATTTGTTTTTGATTTTACTCAAGTTACAGCTTGCACGGACGGACGGACAGACAGTCACCCGGATTTCAACTCGTCCCTTCATCCTGATCATTTGTATATACATAACTCTATTTCTAGCTCTATTAGTTTAAGGTGATACAAACAACCGTTAGGTGAACAAAACTATTATACTCTGTAGCAACAAGTTGCGAGAGTATAAAAACGATACCATTTTTGTAGAAAAAAAATTACCTACACGACTACTTTGAGCTTTGCAAGTTAAAATCATGTTTTTTCATTGAGTTATAAAATATAGAAGAAAAAAACAAGTTTGCCCTCAAATAGGGAAAATTCAACCGTTAGCATCTTATAAACCTTTAGGTAAAGGTAAATGTCAGATCCGTTTTTTAGGTGCATTAAATTTCCAAAACAAAATATATTTTCAAGTAGTTGAAGGCGAGATATGAATTTTGATAATAAGAAAAAAATAGAAAGCCGTAAGGCGGAGGACTCTCCCGTTACAACAAACAGCTCATACTGGGAGAGTATTTCTTAGAAGTGTCTACCAACCAAGTTTTCAGAGTATCAGAGAAAACACAAACATGCGAAGTTCGGTCGCATGGGGCCAGTAAAGATGAAATGCCAAAGCCCTGTGTTTTATGTTTTGTTGAGCAAAGTAATATTTAAAACATAAATTTTGACAAAACATGGAAAATACTTATTAAATCATCGATTTAGGATTCTTTTTTAGAATAAACATTTCAAATAGCCTGCAAATGGATATAAAAGAACAGTTTTACCTTTCCTGTCATGATCCGTAAATGTTTCTCTTACTAAC